GGGTAAAAAACAAGAAGCCGTCTGTGCTGCCTGTGCGGCTTTCCCGCTCACTCGAATCTCCATCCTCGCTTTCGTTACCCTCTGTTCGCAGCTGAGGTGGTGCCCCCCCAGCCGCTGCATGGCTGTTGGAAATTCGATGATGCATCTTCCAGGCTCGCCCAGTGGTTTGTTCACACAAATAAACCTTAATTAAACCCTGAACACTACTTAATTAACCCCTACACCCAACAATTCAGTGATCGAAAAACGTAAGCAAGACCAACTGTGGAGGATGCTGGGCTGAGACCCCGGACGCCAGTCACTCAGGATGTGCACCACAAGTTGCTCTGTTCTGCCTCTTTGTGTGTTTGCGTGTGTCAAAGCAGCCCGAGCTCATAAATTCAAACATGTTACAGGCCGTGACCTCGTCCAAAGCTTCCGGCCTTTGTGGTCTGAACAGGAAGCTTCGCATCTTCGAGGCTCTTTCTTGTCTTTGCTCTTTCAGCAGCATGCCGCTAGGAATCCGTTCATAACTTGACTTGCTCGTATTCCTAACTAATTAATGACTGCCTACTCCTACGATTACGACGACGAATCCTTGAATGAATCGAATTGCTCGTATTCCTAACTAACTAATTAGTTGCTCCCCACTCCCACGATTAGGACGACGACTAATTACTACGATACTACTGCTACTACTAATTACTACTACTAGTACTACTACTACTACTACTAATTACTACTACTTCTAGTACTACTTCTACTACTTTTACTATTGCGACTGCTCCTGCTACTACCATCGCCGCCGCTGCCACCACTACCAGTACTAGCACTGCCGCAGAACAACCGGCCCTCACCAGACCCCCCACCACACCACCACCCCCCCACCACACCACCCGCCGCCACCACCCACTTGCCTCTTACCAGAAGGATACTGCGAGCCCGTAATGCAGGTCCTTTCACACCGCTGGGCCGGGTGTGGGGGGTGGAAAATTCTCGGATCTGTATCGGTCGGTCTGTTGGGGCCAACGCACCGCGGGCTCCGGTGTATGGCAGCAGAACAAATGGGCTAATGTGTCTGCTGGCAGACCGGAATGTGTGGGCAAGCTGCATGTTCTCCGAGTTTTCCTGGTATTGGGAGGCCCATCCACAGCTGCACTTCACACGATCCACGCCACTGCTGCTGCCACCGTCCGTGCCAGAAATCACCACCGCCCTCGCACCCGTCGCATGCTGCTGCTGTTGCTGCTGCTGCTGCTGCTATGTAATTATGTTCAGGTATGTATGTATGTAATGTGGTATGTAGGTATGTATGTATACATCTAACGTTCAATTTGATGCAGTTCGTTGTAATTATTCATTGCGATTCTACAACCGTATACATGTCCTCATATGTACGGTTTGCTTGCTGCGAGTTATTTAGAACTCCGGACAGGCTGACCTGAGTGGTGACCCGAAGCAGCCCCGGACTTTGCTGCCGTGGTGACCTCAGTTTCCACATAATTAGTTAATTATGTCGCCTGCAGTAACGCCAGGCGGGTTTTGGAGCAGTGCCCCGGGGTGATTCCTGGAGGCTACTGCCGTAGCAGTCACTCACTGCGCCCAAAAATTAAGCAATTACCTGCCGCATGATCCTCATGCCAGGATGGTCAATGTCGGAGCTCAAAGAGCACCGAGAGGAGGGGATCTTGTTTCAGAGCTGGATAATTAAGGGAGAGGAGCCTGATTCTTTCACTCATGCATAAAATTTGGTGACTCGTTCTTCAACAAGTTCCATAATTCATGAGGTTGATACCGTGTCGGTGTTCATTCCAGATTCCAACATTGAGCAAGTCGTGAGCCTGGGAATAATCATTTGACAGGACCTCCGCCTGAAGCTCCGATGGCTTCTGCAGAAGAAGAAAGCGGCTGCAGGTCGAATACCAGGTATGCACCGGCAGGCCATGCTTGGCAAGTTTATACTTTGAAGGTGTGTTTTCAGTCGAGCCCCAATGCTTCTTTCCAACATTTTTGCCTCCTCTTTCCAGGCTGTGGCACACAGTGTCCCGCTTCCCCAAGCAAAAGCTCCAACCTTGGATGACCGTTGGTTCTCCTGGCCTGAGCTTGAAAGGGAGGAGCAGAGGGCCGGAGACCAGTGCCACAAAGAGATGCGAAAAGACCGCAAGGCCTGGTATATTTAGTTGATTGAAGTTGGACACATAGATGCGCTGAACGGTTTCGCCAGACTTCGTCGACAGGTCCGGCTGAAAGGATGCAAAGCCCGCGGAAACCGTGCAGGTCGAATACCAGGTATGCACCGCCAGGCCATGCTTGGCAAGTTTATACTTTGAAGGTGTGTTTTCAGTCGAGCCCCAATGCTTCTTTCCAACATTTTTGCCTCCTCTTTCCAGGCTGTGGCACACAGTGTCCCGCTTCCAGAAGCAAAAGCTCCAACCTTGGATGACCGTTGGTTCTCCTGGCCTGAGCTTGAAAGGGAGGAGCAGAGGGCCAGAGACCAGTGCCACAAAGAGATGCGAAAAGACCGCAAGGCCTGGTATATTTAGTTGATTGAAGTTGGACACATAGATGCGCTGAACGGTTTCGCCAGACTTCGTCGACAGGTCCGGCTGAAAGGATGCAAAGCCGGCGGAAACCGTGCAGGTCGAATACCAGCTATGCACCGGCAGGCCATGCTTGGCAAGTTTATACTTTGAAGGTGTGTTTTCAGTCGAGCCCCAATGCTTCTTTCCAACATTTTTGCCTCCTCTTTCCAGGCTGTGGCACACAGTGTCCCGCTTCCAGAAGCAAAAGCTCCAACCTTGGATGACCGTTGGTTCTCCTGGCCTGAGCTTGAAAGGGAGGAGCAGAGGGCCAGAGACCAGTGCCACAAAGAGATGCGAAAAGACCGCAAGGCCTGGTATATTTAGTTGATTGAAGTTGGACACATAGATGCGATGAACGGTTTCGCCAGACTTCGTCGACAGGTCCGGCTGAAAGGATGCAAAGCCTGCGGAAACCGTGCAGGTCGAATACCAGCTATGCACCGGCAGGCCATGCTTGGCAAGTTTATACTTTGAAGGTGTGTTTTCAGTCGAGCCCCAATGCTTCTTTCCAACATTTCTGCCTCCTCTTTCCAGGCTGTGCAACACAGTGTCCCGCTTCCCGAAGCAAAAGCTCCAACCTTGGATGACCGTTGGTTCTCCTGGCCTGAGCTTGAAAGGGAGGAGCAGAGGGCCGGAGACCAGTGCCACAAAGAGATGCGAAAAGACCGCAAGGCCTGGTATATTTAGTTGATTGAAGTTGGACACATAGATGCGCTGAACGGTTTCGCCAGACTTCGTCGACAGGTCCGGCTGAAAGGATGCAAAGCCCGCGGAAACCCTTCAGCGACATGTCCGAGACCGAGAGGCGTGGCAATTAAATAATTAATTGAGTCTCTACTGCAGTCTCGGATGTGTCGCTTCGGAGACATGTCTTGTCGTCAAGCATCTCGGCTGAACCAAAGGATAATTAGCTGACCGCGACCAGGGCCGTTGTAGTGTTGCTGGCTTGCGGGCTTGGTTTGGTGTGGGTTGGGCTTTTCTTTCTTCGTTCAGGGACAGGGCTCATGCCCACGGAAAAGGTGCCACAGCCATGGAGCGGTGCCCATTGCATGGGCAAAACAAAATATCCAGGACTGTCTGGTGGAATCAGGATCTGTTGCACAAGCGTATTTCAGATCTGTCTATGGAGGTTTTGTGTGCTAAGTGGAGAACGCTACCACCAGCCTCCAAAACATCGCTGCAAAATCTCTATGGTTCTAGCTGGCTTAGAGAGGCTCCATACATTATCTGGATGGATGCCTGGGTCTTGCTACAGCCACAACAGCGCATTCCCTTCGTCTGCCGCACGTATGAGATCGATGAAGACTTTGCAAATTCCATGCTTGACAGTGCGTACGCTTTGCAGATTGCAAAGGTTGATAACTTGGACTACATGGATTAGTGGAACTGCTCCTCGGAGTGTCGAAGCTTTTCTGCGAGCTCTAGAAAGTGCGAGGCGATCGTGTCTCTCAGCTTTTGCGATGCCTGCTTAGCCGTCCGCGGCGGGGTATCGTTGCAGCCGTATGAGAATGCACATGGTACAGCTTCACGCCGGGCATCAAAGTCTGATGTCTGTTCTCATTATGCGGTGGCTGAGTGTTCATGCACCGGATGCTGCGTCAGAAACAGCACTTCTCGACATGTCTGAGAGTCATGCGAAGTCTCTTTCACGACCCTGTGCTCCGCAATCCCGACCTGAGCAGGCCATGAAATCAAGAAGCCGAAGCCTGAGGCTCCAGCCTTGGGCACGGGAGGGGGTGTTGAGTTGCACTGTGAAACGTAGTTTTGCTTCGCCAGGTCGTTCTGGGAGGACGCAAAGGTGGTCGAGAACTTTTCTCGACATGTCTGAGAGGCATGCGAATTCTTTGTCACGATCCCTTGCTCAGCAGTCCGCACCTCAGCAGGCCCTGAAATCAAGGAGGCGATTCCTCAGGCTGGAGCCTTGAACACGGGAGGAGATGTTGAGTCGTGCTGTCCACTTTTGTTTTGTTTTGCCAGGTCGCCTTGGGAGGACGTGGAGGCGGTGAAGAGCTCTTCCCGAGATGCCTGAGAGGCATGCGAATTCTTTGTCACGATCCTTAATTAGCTACGCAATACGGACCTTTGCAGGCTCTGAAATCGAGGAGCCGATGCCGGAGGCTCCAGCCTTGGACACGGGAGGAGATGGTCAGTCGCAGTATCCACGTGAAAATTGGTTTTGATTCGCCAGGTCGTCTTGGGAGGATGTGGACGCGGGGAAGAAGAGCTCTTCCCAACATGTTTGAGAGGCATGCGAGTTCTCTTTCACGATCCTTAATTAGCTACGCATACGGACCTTTGCAGGCTCTGAAATCGAGGAGCCGATGCCTCCGGCTCCAGCCTTGGATAAGGGAGGAGAAGTTGAGTCGTACTGTCCAATTTTGTTTTGTTTCACCAGGTCGTCTTGGGAGGATGTGGAGGTGGTCAAGAACTCTTCCAGAGATGCCTGAGAGGCATGGGATTCCTTTGTCACGGTCCTTCACACAATCCGGAGCTGACCAGGCCCTGAAGTCAAGGAGGATGAGCAGAGACAGGGGCGCTGCGAAAGACTGCCAAGAAGAGAAGAACAGAAGGCTCGCAGATGTAATTGAGGTTCTGTCCGTGCCACCGATGTATGAGTGGTCGCTTTCTCGCAATCTCAACTCATGCTTTGCCCCGAATTATCCTGGTCGCCAGGTCCTGTTGAGAGGAGGTGGCAGAGGAGAAAGCCTGTCCCCAGGACGTGAGAGTTGCATGAGTTCAGATAATGCGAGAACTCCGCGGAAAGCTTCAGCTACGTCGGCCTCGCCTGACAAAGCTTCGCCGTCCGAGACCCCCAGTGCCAAGAAAACGGTGCAGTATGGGCTTGGCAGGTTCTGGAGTCCAAGCGACAAGGACAAACCGGTGCTTGAAGCTACGCTCTTTTCCGGAAAGAGGGACCGCAGGACGACTGAGCACCGAATACAGGACACGCTGCACAAGCTTGTGACTGATGGAGTTTTGAAGGTGGAGAGCGATGCCAGCCTGAGCATGGAACCTCTGGCCAAACGGCTGAAAGCATCCATGACATCCGGCCGGCCACGCAAGAATCCGGAGGAGCTGCGAGGCACGGCAGGTGGCAAAAGCAGCAACCGAAGATATGCTGGGCAGACCTTGTTGCGACAGGAGATACCTGTTGCTGTCAAGGACAAAATGTGCCAGCAGATGTTGTCGCAGGTGGCTGGTTTTGCATCGATGCCTGAGTTCTTTCGGCACTTTGCGGCAGCTTTTGACATGTCCTTGGACAAGCTCAAAGAAATGTACAGCCTGAAGGATGCCTGGGCTGATACAGTGAAGAAGTTGAACCTCAGCACGAGTGCTTCTGTCTGCCACAAAGCAGCTGGCCTGAAGCATGGCAAGCGCGGGCATGCAAAGCCGAGGCTGAGGCAACCTGGTGGAGGACGGAAAAAAGACTGGCCTGAGGCAGTCGATGCTTGCAAGACCTTTTTGGAGATGGAGCGTGCCCATGGGCACACGGTGCTAAAACGCCACCTTCTTTGGCGGTTTTGTGAGGAGGTGGAGAAGCTGGGTGTTGCAGCAAAGGCTGAAGCTATGGAGATGAGCGAACTGGACCCACGCAGGCGGCCTTTGCTGAAAAAGGCAGAGAAGGCTCAGCAGCAAGTCAAGCGCTTGCTCAGCAACGACAAGCTGGGTCTTGCAAAAGCAGGTCAGGTGGCTGAGTGGGTTGGGGCCAAGGACTTGTGTCCGAACTTGAAGACAACTATGTCTGAGATAGAGCAGCGAGTCTCAGCAGAGCTGACATGGCAGGCTCATGATGCTGACCTCCGTTTGCTTGCGTATGGCAACGAGGAGGAGTTGAAGCCGTTGTTCGCCAAGCCGTCTGAGTTCATGGCCGTCAGGAAGCAGACTTTCATAGGAATGTCTGACCAAATCCCTGTCTGGGTGAAGAAGACTTCCTCCAAGGAGCTCTTCGCAGAGTTCGAGCATGCTGCTCGCCCTCAGTCTGAGGTGAGGAGTGCCACGAGGAACTTGCTGGCTGACTTTGAAGCGGTGTCTGAGGAGCCTGGCCGTTTGTCTCTGGTCGCCCAGCCGCAGCCGGCTGAGTTGTCTCGTACCGGCAAGAAGCACCCGACGACCCGCAAGGACCCGGATGGGGACAGGTACCGCCTGACGTATGAGGCCAGGCAAGGCATCCTGCACTACTTCGACGAGTCCAAAGACCCGGTTGGAGTTGTGCTGCCTGGGATGGTTATAGTGGCTGGTGTTCACGCTGAGCTTAGCAACATAGACGAGCGAGGCCTGTGGCGTACTACCCGTACTTTCCAGTATGGTGGCCAAGTTATCCAGCAGAAGGCCGGCATGAGTGCGGGGCGAACGCTCTACTCGTGGCGACTGCTTCGCCAGAGACGGCCTGAGCTGATGTCTGAGGTCGAAGTCTACTCCCAACCAGCGGCGATGGTCGACAGTGTCATCATGTGTTGGTGCATCGCCAGAGCGGCTGAGACCTATGCATCTTCGTACTGGATCCGAGACTGCCTGAAGAGTGCCTTTACGGAGGAGGCTGGGAAGGCACGCTTCGCGGCCCACCAGTTGCAAGGTGTGGTGGCCGCAAAGATGACTTCGCAACTTCAGGTGACTGACACTGATTTCAGTTCCCTTTTCAAGAAGGAGTGCCTGAAGTGCATGGACAACCTCCGCTACAATGGGCAGAAGCAGACTGAGGGCTCAACTGTCTGGAAACCGTCGTCTGAGGATATGCTCACGGCGATCGTGACAGCTCAGAGAGTTCTGTCTGAGAAGAACCAGCGAGACGGCTGGGTGCTGGCGTCTTGCCGGCGAAACGGGTTTCTTGCTTTGAGACCCACAAAAGATGGTTTCGTGCGAAGCGACGAGCAGTCGTGGGCGAGAGACCTTCCGCTTGGCTCCAGCCGTATAAGCAGTGCTTGGCTGACCAACCGCCTGACCCACTGGATTCTTGGCTGCTGTCAGTCCCCAAAATACCTGCCTGTAGAGTCCAAGCCGTTTTACCCTAGCCAGGCTGTTCAGTGGCATACTTTTTTACTTTCAGGTTTCTGGGTCCCGATTATAAAAGAAAGAAGCCTCAGAAAGTAAATACTGTTTCCCAGTGGGTTACCGAACAGCCTAGCTACTTATAACTAAGTGTACATGTACTTGAACGTTCACATGTGTGCTAAAGGGTAATCAGCCAAGGACAGGACCAAAAGCAATCCAACCGCCTGACTGGGGCAGGCTCGAGGGTGCGGCTGACCTGGCAGACCTCCTGGAGTGGGACTTCGTTGACAAGTCTGACAAGGAGAAGACGGACCTCGTCCTGCCGATTGACGACAAGGAGCTGGAGGCGCCTGAGTGGAGCCAGCTGGCCGGCTTCCAATTGTCTTTGGACCTGCGCCGCTCACGGTGGCTGAAGGCCAACAAGGAGTTGCACTCTGAAAAAGCTCCTTGGCTGTCTGCTAGTCACTGTTAGTTCGTTGGCTAAGTGAACTCTCATCCTTGTTCCATGAATTCAAAGCCGTTCAGAAGTCAGTCAAGGCTCGCAAAGCCCAAGAAAGACGCGAGGAAAGGAAAAAACTGGCTGAGATCAGGAAGGAGCTGAGCTTGGAGGATAGGCAGCTCGTGCGAGATGCCCTGCACAAGACTTCGCGAAAGGAGGTGTTGAAAGCTATAGTTCCCCTTGCAGGCCAGGGCAACCAGGCCAAAAACAAGAAGAAGAAGAAGCTGTCGTTCGCCAAAAAGCAGAAGCTGTCTGTGAAGAAGAGAGTGTTGAGGCGGCATGTTCGTCGTCTGAAGGTGGCTAAACAGCCATTGCCTGACGCTCCGGCGTCTGCGCCTGTGGCCTTGCCTGAGGAGGCTCCTACGTTTGCACTTGTGGCCTTGCCTGATGAGGCTCCTCCTTCAGGAGTCTTCCGAGTGGTGTCAGATGTGCTGGGAGAATCTTGCTACGGCCTGACGGGCACCTTGCAGAAGGCCACAGCGACTGATGGGCTGCTTTTGCCGCTCAAGAAGGGGAAGTCCCAGTGGGTGCCGAGGAGTGTTCTGCATCTGCTGTCTGCTGGCGAACACAAAAAAAATTGGAAGCGAAAGCAGTTCAGCGTCAGTCGGGAGAGGAAACAAGACATGCTGCTCAACATGGGGTGCCTGAGGCTGGACATCGATGGAGCAGAGGAGGTGGACAATGTGGAGATTGTGCAGCCTGACACACTACCACGTGGCGGTTTGCGAGACCAAACCATGGCAATGGGTTGGGAAGCCATACGGTGGGCTTTGGGCTGCGACGATTCTGTTGTGGGCGTCAATCCTGTCTTGACGCATTTTTTCTTGCAGCACCAGCAATACGAGGCTGACCCCGAACACGGCCCTGTGGTGACTGAGCTGCACCGACTTCTCAGCACCGACAAGCTGTTCTTGTTTCCCGTCTATGCAAGCCACCACTGGACGCTGTTGTGCGTGGACAAGCGAGCTGCAGATGTACGTGTCAAATACTTCGACTCGTTGACTGAACTGCATGAGCCCACACGGGCGAAGGCTGAGCAGCTTTTGGTGTCCTTGCTGCATGATCGTGCACAGCAGTGGCTCCCCTTGACCAGGCACAACCTGAGAGTCAGACAGACCCCGGGCAAAGTCAGCTGTGGATTGTTCGTGCTGTCTTGGATGGAGTCTGAGGCGGCTGATGCCGTAGGCTATGGACCATGTGCTCCAGAATGGCCTTCCACCGCCGTGGTTACATGGCACGAAAGACTGAGGAAAATCAGTCTGCAGCTTGTGGCTGAGAAAGCCAAGTTCGAAGGGGAACTGCAGAAAGAGCTTGAGGCAATCGTCAAGGCCGCACAATGAGTTAGAATTAGAGGTTGCTTGATAGACATGCGTAACAGCCCCGTATCCTGCCGCATTCCAGGCCGGCGAAGAAGCCAAAGCCCAAAGACTGAAGCTGGCTGAAGTTGCACAGGCAGGCTCTGCGTTTTGCGACCAGCCTCACTTTGACATGTTTCTGTTTCAGGCGAAGCTCACGGCTGGTGAAGAACTTCGTGAGCTGGAGGCACAAGCCCTCAGGCTGGTGACTGAGGGAGGGCCAGTGGGACTGGCGGACCTGAAGAAAGAGGCTTTGGATGATATCCACAAGGTCACGTTGAAAGAGTCAATGATTTGTTCGTCTTGCAGGTACAGGTCCGGTTGTCTGAGGTGTGTAGTGTGGAAGTGCCAGCGGTACCACCTCAAACGTGAAGCGCAAAGGTCAGGCAGACCGATGCCTGAAGTGTGGTGACAATCAGTCTGAACGTACGGTAAGCATAAATACAGCTTTCTGCATTGTTCAGGGCTCCCTTTGCTGACTGATTGTCACTTTTGTGCTGCCGACAGTTGCAAGACCTGAGCCTGAGCCCGCGAACTTCGACCGGAAAGTAGTTATCGCAGTGACGATCAGTCTGAGCATATGGTAATCAACTAATTAAGCATACAGATTTTTGAATGGTAAATTGCTCCCTTTGGTGACCGAGTGTTAGTTGACCGCGGATTTGGACCGGAAAGTTCGCTTGAGCGCCCTGACAATCAGTCTGAACATATGTAAGCATACAGCTTTCTGCAGTGTTCATTGCTCCCTTTGGTGACTGAGTGTCAGGAAAGTTTGCTTGAACGCCCTGACAATCAGTCTGAACATATGTAATTAAGCATACAGCTTTCTGCAGTGTTCATTGCTCCCTTTGGTGACTGAGTGTCAGGAAAGTTTGCTTGATCGCGCTGACAATCAGTCTGAACATATGTAAGCATACAGCTTTCTGCAGTGTTCATTGCTCCCTTTGGTGACTGAATGTCAGTTGCTGCTGCTGCTCCCGTAGAGCGGATGGGCCAGCGAGGCCTGTGAGACCGCAGACGGGGACTGAAAAGACGGAAGCCGTGAGTGTGTGCCCTTTGCATGAACATGTTTAGACAGTGAACACGTCGCTTTTGCATTTTTTTAGGCCTGAGGCGGAGCACAGCTTTAATCTGGGGGGTTTTTTTCAAGGTCTGAGGCCACTGTTCTGGGGGGTCGTGGTCGCCCTTCTAAACTCCTCTTGCCCCTGCCTTTTCTCAAATCCCGGACCCCCAAAGCGCGTCTTTAATCAGGGGGGGTTTACTAATCCTAAGTTGCCATTAAGCCGGATTATGAACCTGAGTTCAAATCCAGACTGGTGTCCTGTGGAAATTTTGAAGATTCCACAGAGGTTCGCACGGACGCGCCAACCTCAGACCTCGAAACGCATGGCCTAGTATCAGCGTTCGCCGCATCCAATGGAGTCCCTGTAGAATCGTCAGATATTCGCAACGCCTACTTTCAGGCCGAGCCAATAGACAGGGTTGTACTTATGAGACAACCTGGCGGAGGACTTCCAGGAGTAGATCCGGAAGCGATGCTCCTGATCAGAGTACCGGTATACGGACTCTGCGATAGCGGCAGAGGTTTTTGGAGGAAAGTCGACCGAGAAGCACGTGAAGTCGGCTTCCAGGTAAGCAGGATTTTCCCTGCATTTTACTTTTACCGCGCCGCCGGAAAAGTAGTCTGTGTCTTGACAACACATGTCGATGACTTTTTATGGGCATCGATAGGCAAGGGCGGAACTATCATAGATAAGCTCCTAAAGAAGTTCGAAGTAGGCCGCCGCGAGTCGGGAAGACTACGCTTCTGCGGTAAGCAATTCGACATATCTGGAAAGGACGTGTTAATCGACGTTACCGATAACACGAACAAGATCACCTACATTGATGTCAAGGCAGGAAGGAAACACTCGGATCTTATTGACCGAGGTGAAGAACGTCAACTACGTTCTGTAGTCGGCAGCCTTTCGTGGATTTCTAGGCAGGCTAGGCCAGATATTCTATACCGCGTATCGAAGCTTCAGAGCTCGATAAAAGGTGCAACTGTTAGCACTCTTCATGAGGCTAACAAAGTCCTAGAACTTGCCTTAAAGGGTCGCGACCTTAAGCTAAGATACAAAAATGGTGCTTTTGATTTCGAGAGCCTGGGCGTACTGACAGCCTCAGACGCTAGCTTTGCGGGTGAAAAGGGAGACCGATCACAACAAGGACGGATCCATTTTCTCGCTCCAGCTGCCCAGCTTCGCGATCCAAATTGTAGTCGTTACGACACAATGATCGTGTCGTTCTCATCCACCACAATCAAAAGAGTATGCAGAGCAACTCTTCAGGCTGAGACTTACGCACTCCAAAGTGCCCAAGAGGCAGGGGATCGCATAAGAGCAGCCCTAGCCGAAATCTACGGATTCGGTAGTAGTGGTCCCGATTGGGAACTTCGTGCGAGAACACAGGTTCCGCACATAGCGCTGACGGACTGCCGCAGCTTAGCCGATCACCTCAACACGGAGGCTCCGTCCCGTGTGCAAGACAAACGATTGCAAATCGAGCTTAGCGCTCTTCGCCAGTCTATCTTTACAGAAGACGGCAAGCGCACGGTTGAGGCCTACCCTGCGGGTGGAGATAGAGTGGACTGGGTCGATACAGCCACTCAAGCCGCTGATTGTTTCACAAAGTCCATGAAACCGGATTTCATCATAAAGGTGATTGAATCTGGTGAGTACAGTATTAGTCGAGCTAAGCTGTAGACGTAGATTGCAGACGCTACAATCGTGGGCATACGTTGTATGTACCATAGTAGCTGAGTCGGTGCTAGGGTAGCATGCAGACACCACTTCCGGAGGACAATGCCTATTGTACCTCATGTGGTTAATTTAGATTTTCCTCGATGTCATGGCATGAGAACAGGTTGAGTGTGAATGCACCCTCTGTTGTACATGTACAGGAAGCCATGGCCATGACATGCATGTGTTAACTGTATATATTTCCCGCTGCCGTTAGGGCCCTTGAGTCATATTCAGATAGCGTCGCAGTCGGCGAAAAGATCCACCAGTTTTCTCAAACTATGCCATCCCATGACACCCACGGGCAGACTCTAGTAGTCTAGCACAGCAGGCCAGAGCCGAATACCCCAGGGTGGTACATGCGAGGGTGAATAAACGAGGCCTAACCCGGTTTGAGCAAGCGCACACGAGGGCCGTGCATTCAAACACGTTTGTCAGCATGCGAGTCGTTACAGTAAACAACACATTTTATTAGATGAGACATGCCTGCGCGAGTGAGAGAGCCGGTCAGCGACCAGGGCCAGAGGTCCTGCAGGCCAAGCTCAGAGGCAGCTGACATGTTGATATTAGCTGATCCCCAACCAGCCCTCAGCTTGAAGATAACTCCGAACTCGCGTGGTGAACATTTGCCTCATGGTGGGACTCGATGGAAGACATGAGAGTCCATGGAGCTAACTCCCCCGACGCTCCCAGCATCGTAAGCAAACTGCGAGCTGCGTATTCCACTTCACGGGGTTTCGATCTGCAGTTTCTGAGTTTGGCAAGTTTCGAGTTTCGTCTTTCGTCTGCATAGTAGCGGTGGTGACCACTCGCACCAGACGTTTGTTGGTATGAGACGAAGTGCGACATAACGGTTGTCACTGGCACCGCTCTGCATCCCCATCAAGAGCTATGGCCTGCCACATCAAAAGGGGGTTCGGCGCAGTCTTGAAAGCCACTTTCAGGAAGCCACAAATTTATTTGCCATGTGCCGAAGGCGAACAACAAGACGTGGTGCCAAGTTCGCGATGCACTGCAGATTTCACTTCGCATGCTCCGAGATGCTGGCTTGCGGTTCCCAGCTCGTTGACTTCGAGAGTGCCGTGCCCAAAGCTGCCGCAATGAGCCAGCATCGGCATGCCGTGTAGCTTGGCTTGCCAAGCCCCCTGCACATTCGTAGACCGCAGTATCGGCGGGCGAAGAAAACAGAGGTCAACCTCACAAAGTCGGGATGAATGGAATGGGCCTGTCTTTTGATTAAGATGAAGCCTCACAGCCCTTGTTCAAGGGATCCGGCAGTGTGCTCTGTGCATTGGCGCCCCAAATCGGTTCCTGTTCAGCAGTCCCTGGCAACCAGAGCATTTGGAGACGAACTTGGGTCTTGCATGAGCTTGGACGGTAAAGACCAAAAGCCACTTGGTCACTACGCGCACAGAATGTTCCACGTCCTGAGGTCGGAGCAGCTGGAAAAGCAGTGCCAGGACTCGAGGCGACCCGCGCGGATTGCGTCTTTCAAATTTTCTGGGGGCCCGTTGGCAGGGTGCGTGAGATGGTCGTCGTCTAATGTGACTAATGACTAACATGTGTCAGTACTTGGCGCGGACGTGCCAGAGCTTGTGGAAAGCAGAGAAGGCAGACGTTCGGTGCAATCCCCAACTGTTCTGGTTCCTGAGAGCAGGAAGCGATGGACCGATGCTGCCGCTGAGGCTGCAGTCGGCTGTAGGGCGCAGAACCCTGGGCGGCTTCTTCTATCTGTCCTGTCCTGCTTTGGAAGCACAGGCTGGTGAAACGAAAGGTAACTTGTAGTTTCAAGTCTCCCGTATGTCATGGTGGATTGTTTGGTCATGCCCATGCTTGCCCCAGCATAGGCTTTGAGGACCCAGACCTTCAGAGACGACCCCTGCAAAAATGGAACGGCCATACTTTAAACATCTTTAAACGCTGCGACTTCTGTTGCGGCATTGTATCAACCTCATGGCTACTGTCGACTGTCTCGATCACCCATGCGTGATTCGGCAGTGTATCGGTGGAGCATGACAGAAGTTTGGTGAGCGAGTGTTGCGACATCTTCAGAATAGCCGGAAGTTGTGGCAGGTGCTGGTTCCCGCGGCATTGCAGGCTCTGCGCGAGCCCTCATGGATGCAGTCGATTGCTCTTTCACTGTGCTCTTCGCTGTCGGAAGGCGCCCTTGGCCTTGCTATCACCCTGGAGCAGTTTGGCCCCAGC